CAAATATCAGAAATCTCCGGTGTGGTTTCCATATTGAAATTAGAAAGTAARCATCTTTAAGATCCACCGTACCCATGGAAATATCACGCTCTAAAAGGTTATAAACGGATCTAAGGTCCTCGAGTTTGAAAAGTTCTGCGTCAATAGACGTATTCAATTCCTTCAGGTTCAAAATAAACCTCTGTTGACAATCCGGCTTAGGGACCAAAAAGAACGGTGACAGAAATTGTTCAAGAACCCCTTTTACTTCCTCAATCGCACCTATCGAAAGCAGTCTGTTAATCTCAAATTGTATGCCTGCCAGTTCCTGACCTGACCAAACCCTGTCAGGTGATGGACGAGTTTGCACAGAAACCGATTTAAAAGGTATTTTATACCCTTGCACACACTGAATGACAATCTTGTCCTCAGTGATTGTTTTCCAGGCCTTTAGGAAATACTTTAGACTCACCGCAAACCTACTTACATTCTCCTCTAAAGTTAACGGTTCTGAGGCCGTTGTTTCTGCTGACGATATTGGTTCGACTTGGGATAGGATGTCTGTCTCGCTGGGAATTTGGGAGTTAGTGGTTTTTTCGCTGATGCGGTTTTCCCGCTCGTCTGAGACACTGACTTCCTTCGACTCGACGAGCTCTTGGAGTTTAAAGACCCGAAAGGCACGAACGACTTCTTCGGCTGGACGGGCTTCAGCTCTTCACAGACTTTCTCAATGGCCTTGATCTCCTTGACCTTGTCACCTAGTTTGTCGCTAAACAAAAATTCGTCAGCCTTTCTTTTCTCTAGTGTCGTCATCCACTGTCTGGACAATGTCGGAAAGATGCAAGCTCTGCGTGCAACCGTTTGAGATCTATGGATCTCAACCATTAGTTCTGCCGCATCTCAGATTTGCTCCAATCTCTTAACATTGTCTGGGTCCCTAAGGGATGCCAGAGACTCAATTACTGGAGCCAAAGCAGCTAAGGCAGACCTTGCTAGCTTCTGCATACCACTAAAGTGTTTGTCCCTCTTCAAAGCCGGTTTTTTTAGATTCACTGCCACCTCTTCATTCAGAATCGGCAGCTCGAGCGAGAATTTGCCCTTCTTGGGATATTTGCTTAGGAGTGATTCCCTAACCTCTTTCTTTAAGCTTTCGTCAAAATATTTTTTCCAGCGATTAACGACAATGGAGTGAAGGACTAATCGAGGTTCTTCCTGCACCGGTTCCTCTCCCAAGATACGGAGAGCATCCGCATCCAGCTCCCATGGAATCTCTGTTTCTGCGCTTTCAACTGGCTCTGAGTCCGGTGGGACTACCCTGCTAGACGTTTCAGGCTGAGAGTTCTCTTCTTCTACCACTTACTGCTCACTCAGGGCTTGGTCCTTGATTGACGTAGTCTTTGTATATTTAATTCATTTTATTATAGATTTTCACACATTAATTTATTTAACAATTGCACAAAAATTAGGTAGTTCATTGTTTACTCTGGATTAACCTCCAAAATAATTCGAGTAATTTTACTCTATACTTTACCTTCAAAGTAAAGTCACATTACTCTATGAGTCCTATTTTACCTCTCGGGTAAAACAGAGCTCTAAATACCGACAGAGCACTACCATGCCCAGCTGTAAGTAATAAGATTATTTATACCAATGTGAGCCTTTCGGGCGTGGTGCTTCTCGGGCGTAATGCCTCTCGGGCGTGAAGGTATAATTTACGAAAATTGTGATYTTATCTCGTGCTCACAATTAATCCGTAGTTATAATGGATACAGTATCTTCTACATCTGATTCCGACCGCTCTGACGTCTCACGGACTGCCTCGCGGCGTCCCAAGATGGCTTCCTTTATTGCAGCAATCCCCCTTGCCATCTCCTCCACCTTATTCTCTAATTTGCGAAGTCTTTTGGATATTCTTTCCTTTGAACGCTCTCGACTTCTTGATCTCTTCTTCTTGCTATTACCTATTGATATTTTTTATCACTATTATTAACAATAAAACCCGTTAGAACTGCTCACTTGCACCAAACGTGTGATCTCTCTGACACAAAAATAACGAATGTATAGATAGTAATAGGGCTGCGCTATGATGGTCGAGTGGCGCTTCAGTCGCTAACTTAGCTCTGAAGTGTGGTCCAAGACATAAAAGTAGTGATACTACCTTCGCAATCTCGAAGTGCGAGAGACGACGGATAATGTGTATTAGAGGAAAAAGTACTTAATGGACATAACGCTTCTTACATTATTTTACGGGTTTTTATACATAAGTTAGTTACACCCCTCTGGAGAGGGAAGAACCTAAATGGGACCTATTGTCTAATAGTAGGAGGGCTCACCTACCAAGATCTCCCGAAGGAAAATCTTATGTTTTTGGGAAAAGGAAACAATGCATAAAGAAATGTGATGTAGCATCTCGGAATGTTATTTCCTTTTATGGTATCGTACGTTCTTAGAAATGAATCAGAAACCTTTAAAGGGCCCGACACTGTATAAAGGGTTTTCATCGCACCATATGTTTCTTTGATCGTTGAGATAGTTTGGGAATTTATGGCCCTTTGGATTTTCTTAATATTTAGGTAAATAATACCTTTACTCTGCTTCCTATCGTATTTCATGATATTTTAATTCATAGGCTTATCGCAGAATCTGTTGCACACAAATTGAATATTATAAAAAAAAACAACAATAAAGTTTATCGTTTAAAGAAGATTTGTGTGTCTGTGTGTGGGTGGTACTGAACAGTTATCGTTAAATAAAAACAAGTATCGATAAAAAAAAAAAAAAAACATGTGTGCAGATCACACGTGTTAGAAGTGAAACCTTCAAAAATCTAAGTTTCGAGAGAATGAGACGAATGCACAGTATCAAGAGTAAGATAATTGTGTAGGATTTATTTATTATAATATTGTTACCATACATAACAAAATCCACCGGTATGATCTTGGGGTAGATGACAAAAACTATCAATTTCTAAATTTAATCAATTTAGATGGAATGTAGAATGCGATAGCCATAGACAGAAACGAAAATGGTAGAATGTTTGTTGACAGAAAGATACGCCATCCTAAACTAAGTAAATAAGTAAATATACTATATTTTTTTTTTTTTTTTGAAACTCGGGTAGATGATATTTTCTTTCACACTTTTAACCCTTCCTTTGAATTTGAGATATCTTTATTATGGGTTTGCACACACAAGTATTTCTTTTTGTGTTGCAACTAATTACCTGTAGATGCTGTTAAAGAAGGGAACAATAGTGTTCTTTTTTTTTTTTTCATCTAGTTTGGAATTACAACACTTATAACATCAATTTTTTATTTTTGTTGTTTTAATTCGCAATTTTTTCAATTAAAAAAAATTTTCTTTTCTACATCTTTAACCCTTTCGCTACGGGGCGGATCTCTGCCGCGGTACTCCCGCAGTACGGCGCGCTACACCGAAACAGTGCACGGTGCACGCAACGTTCGAGCCGGTGTCGTAAGTCTTATGATCGAGGCATTTGGTTTATTATTGAAGCCCGTAAAAAACAAATGATGCAAAACGAAAGACTMRYGCGGYATGTYTARAGTGAGATACTCTGTGCATAGCAACTGCAGGCGCTTATCATATATACAATTGCGCGACATCTTTAGCGGGAGCAACTATAGCCGCTCGTAGTAGCGAAAGGGTTAAAACAAGTTATATTATTGTATTTTTATCGGAAATATAATAGCAAATAAGGTTTATTTGCTTGTGTCACGCACGTGTCCAGTTTCTTCTATTTAGAAACTTTTCAATTTTATTAAAAAACTAGTGTAAATTTCCTAAATACGCAAACATTATAATTAAAAAACATGTCTTTGGATATTTATATGAAACATATTCTACTGTGTTGTCTAATTCTTTTTTTCTGATGTATCTTGTAATCATTTTTTTTTTTTTGTAAAATATTGCAGACAATACAATTATTATATTCTGTATATTTTATAATTATTAATTATAATATTTGCGATATGTAGAATTTAAAATTAATTTTTTAATAAAATAGAAAAATTTTTAAGTAGAAATAGAAAAATAGGAATAAAAAAACAGAAATAGAAAAAAATAGAATATTATATATTCTATATATTCTGTCTCATTCTCTCGCAGGCTCAATCCTATATGTTTGTCTCTATTTCTTTTCTTACTAAATATCGTGGCCATTGCATAGCGGCCCGTTGCTCCGTTGCCTGTCCGTAAACAGGCTCCGTTGCCTCGCTATCTACCGGTTCGTTGCCTGAACCAGCGTTTCATTCTTTTCAAATCACTCCCTATTTTAATGAAGTTTTCACTTCAAAAATTGGAGTAGATAGAAAWGATTCGTATACGAATATCTCGCTACCGTAATAGTACTTTAACTTTTTATTATTTCTTGATTATCACACGCGACATTTTCTAGACGAGATATTTATTTAATCAGGTGGACTAATATATAAATTATTGTGGATGTTGTTTAGAGCTACTGCGTCATTCTAATAAAAAACTTGAAAAAAACGCGACCGAAGGTAAATTATTCTAGCATTTAYTTATTAATTGAATTTATTAATGTATTAATTCAATTAGATTAGAAAACTTGTGTATTTTATTTTTAATAATTAAAACTAAACGAAAACATTTATATAATATWGAGAAATAAACTGGTCTAGTTTTATCTGTATCTGAAAGAAACTTCTTTATTAKSATATTGCAAATTCAAGTAGAAGCAATGTAAAGTAAAAAGGCTTCTTTAACAAAAAACTAAATATATTCTATCGATTGCTATTTTTTAACCTTGGAATCTATGGTAATGATTGGTTGCAAAAATTAATAGCTAGTATTAAAGCGCGCAAAATAAATAAATTTATAAAAATTAGCTTCTTTTTTTTATAAGAATGACATATCACACTTACGTATTAAAGGTATCATAAAATATGGATAAAGAACAGTCTTGGTAATCTATAAATTTGCTCGAGCTCGTTTACTCATTTTCAGTTTCTGTAAAGACGCGAATACTTACTTCTGAGTTAGCTCTGAAGTAAGTAAGTAGCTCTGGTTACTTCTGAGTAGCAATTTTGTAATTATCCCTTACTTATAAACAGAAGCAAAGTAGTATTTTTAAATGAATTAAACAACTTCTACTATTTCTAATTTGTTCAATTCAACATGGAATACATTGCATACTTTATTGTTYCAACAATAATAATTATTCTATTATACAATTTTATTAAATATTTAATAAATAAATTTCGGGAACATAAGATGGTAAAAAAATGTCCAGGTCCTAAAGCTTATCCTATTATAGGAAATATGCATTTATTTCYTGGTGATTTGAAAGGTATATTGTATTTTCATATTTCCAGTATATACATTTTTACCATTTTTATTGAATAAATCTATTTTAAAAATAGATGTAACTCGTAAAATAATACAATACTCTGCAATCTATTCTTCTCCTTGGAAACTCTGGKTAGGATTAAAATTAGYCSTATTCTTCGATGATCCTGAAAATATTGAAGTAAGATTTATTAAATTTACTGCACATTTTTTTACAAACGATTTATACAAATAATATTTTTTTTTTCGTATCTTATTATATAAATTTATTATTTCATTTTTCAGATTCTTTTAAAAAGCCCAAAAACTGATGAGAAAAATTTCATATATAACTTTACTAAAGATACTGTAGGMRATGGATTATTGACAGCGCCAGGTAAATTATAAGCTCACATGGTTTCATTTTATTTAATATAGAACAACTACCAACATTCAAAGTATAATTTAGTATGTTGTATATATTTCTTACAAAGTATTGCTGGTAATAATAGTTTATTTTTTTTACGTTTGCATAAAAAGTCTACACACCCATGTGTGTCAATAACTATATGAAAATATAACTTTTCCTAATTTTTTACTAATAATTATATAAAAAAAAGAATAATAAAAAAAAGTAAAAAATATTTTCATATTTGTAGCGGTATTATGGAAAATACATCGAAGAATAATAGATAAAAAATTCAATGCCAAAATGTTTTCATATTATATGGAGCCATTGAATAAGAATTCAAAAAGGCTAATAAACATTTTAGAAACTAGAAACGGAGAAAACGTAGATATATTTCATTACGTACATTTATGTACGTTGGACATAATATTTGGTGAGTATTAGAAACTCTATAATTTTTAAAATATTCAGACATGTAAAAATCTTTAACAAATTATGTTTTTTTGTACTGACAGATAGCCTWTTGGAATCTGATTTAAATTTGCAGAATACCCTAGACTGCAAACTTGRTAGATATGTAAAAGAGTAATAATCAAAAGAAAATTATTACATTTATTATATAATATAGTATAACTTTATATTTGTCTTCTTATTAAATTTTATTTTTATTTAGAGTAATGGATCTAATGATGGAAAGGGTCTCGAAATTATGGTTACATCCAAATATTATATTTAAAAATTCATCTCTAGGAAAGCGGTTACATGAAAATCTCGCATACATTAATAATATAACAAGCGAGGTAAGATAAAAATTAATTGTTTGTTTCAAATTTTTTGGTTGTAACTATATATTACAGTATTAAGAAAAATTATATTTTATTTATACTTCATATATATTAATATATAACTTTATTCATTAAGATTATTAGGAAAAAGAAAGAGTCAATAGAGGAAGAGAAATTTACCCGTGAAAGAAATGGTCTATATGCAAGTAAGAATAATCATTTCCAAAAATATTCTTTTAGTAATGTATGTATGGATAGTTATCCTTGATATAAATGATAAATAATTTAGTATTATTCCTAAAGATAAAGTAAAAAATACGAGTCCATTTCTCGACGCACTTTTTGAATCACTTTACGAGACCGGAAAATATTCGGAGGAAAATATTCGCGATGAAATAGATACATTTATTTTTGCTGTAAGATAATTTTTTTATTAGATTAGATAAGATTTATTTTTATTTATAAATTGATTCTTAAAACTTTTTATTATTTTTTAGGGAAGTGATACTTCTGCAGGAACTCTTACATTTTTATTTTTAATGCTAGCATCTTTTCCTGAGATTCAGGTAACTACTGATAACCATTAAACATTATCAAWTTTATCCTAACCTTTTAAAAATCAAATTTATTTTTGTACAAAACTTGTGTTATTTATTTGTCATTTTTGATTGTAGAATAAAGTTTATAAGGAGCTGTGCGATATGTACGGTTCAAGCAATGAGAATGATGATCAAATTACATACGATGATACTAAGAAAATGTATTATTTGGATCGAGTCATAAAAGAAACACTTCGTCTTTTTCCTMCTGYTCCATTTTTTGGACGAACATCATGTAGCGATATAATAGGTATTCATATACACAAAAAATACTATTCGTATTTTTTTTCCAATATTTAAATTATTATCTTTTGTTATAATAATATGTATTTTATTATTATATGAAGTGAACGACAACATTGTAGTACCAAAAAATACTACATTATTTTTTTCGATATATTCTTTGCATCGAAAGGATAAATATTGGACGGATCCTTTACGGTTTAATCCTGATCGTTTTCTTCCGGGAAATTATGATCCGAAGTGTTTCATTCCATTTGGTTCTGGGAAACGAGGATGTGTAGGTAAGAGCACATTATTATTCATTTCTTATTTAGTTTCTAAACTTTTTGTTTTCAAAGTACATTTCTATTTAATATTACTTTTTTAGGTAAATTTTTTGCCATGGCACAAGTGAAAACTATAGCTGCTAGTCTATTGAGAAAATTTACTGTTGAAATAGATAATCCAGTATCAGTTGAAAATATTGGCCTACAAATATCCATAACTTTGAAACCAGCTGAAACTATACTTTTGAGATTTATCAAACGATAAAATTTATTATTTTTGTCAGTACTATGTTCCGAATAAAACAATTGTAATAATTAATTTTTCTATTAAAAAATAAATTTTAAATACTAAGCATTTTAAGTTTTTATTTAGAATTTCGAATACAAAAATAAAATAAAAAAAAAGAATTATGTACTGATATGTAATTAATCTATATTCATAGAATATTATTTCACCATAATGTAATTCCAGTTCATGTTTGATAATCATTAAACCAAGACTCTGTTGGTTCAGTAAATTTTGTTATATATAGAAACGGTTACTAATCAAAAATAAAAACCGACAACAAAATATTATCCAATCATTCTTATATTATCCAATCATAAAACCTGTTTATTAAAGTCAATGTTGTTATAAATATCGTGTAAATTGTCTACATCTTGTTTGAATGTACTCGATAAATTTATTTAATTGTGAATTGAATTTTTCGATACTTGAGAATAAAATTGAAATAGATAGCAATTATTCGGACTTGATCGTCTCGCCAATGAGAATTACACTTACATTGTTTCTTTCTTATCTCATGTGACATTTTTGATATGAAATATTTAATTTAGTACGGGTCTAACGAGGTTGGGCCAATCAATAAATTCATATAAAAGTTGTTGAGAATTACTACGTTATTCTAATTAAAAATCTGAAAAAACGCGGTAGAAAAAACTATGTATTTTTTCTCGAATAATTAAGACTAATAAGAACTTTTTATATAATAATGCAAAACGATACGTCAAATCTTTTTAATATTTTATGAATGTTGATATAGATAATGTATGACTATGTAATGACATAGATAATGTAATAGGAATATACATATATAGCTTTACGTAATAAACGCTAAGAGTATGTATGTAAAAAGTATTACGTATATACATTTACGTAATAATTTTTTATTAGCACAGTACAAAATCGAAGGCATCAAGTTACTTCTTTTAATTTTAATAATTACATGTATGATAAATTGCAAATATATTTGCAAACTGGTATTTATAAATGCTTTCAATAAATAAATTAATATAAGACACTTGTGTGTGTTTTTCTCATTTTTTCATGTTCTCATGTTTTCATGTTCTCATGTTTTCTCATATGTATTGAAACGTTGTAAGTATTATACATTTATTATGTATTCATTTTCTCATTTACATTTAAAATTGAAACTCATTTTACATTAGAAAAGAACATTTCATTGATTGTTCAGAGAATTCATGTCTATTTATATTTTAATACAAATATATCATTTTTGCTTGAAAAGTTCGTTTTGAACGTAGAAAATACATATTGAAATGTTATATTTTATTAAATAAATATATAATTTTTTGTGAAACTTTTCAAATATCCATACAATTATCCATCGGGTTACTCGAAAATTTTATTTCCTTTTTTTAAATAAGGAATATTATGTTTATATTAAAAATAATTATTAACATGAATATATTATGGACAACCTAGTATGTATAAATATATTATTTAGATACGTATAAACGTATGTAGTAACATATGATTTAGCAAAAAGTATTTAAAATTGCTTAATGATTGGCCAAATGGGCTGAGAACATATGACGTAGCAACAAATATTCAATACTGTAACACATGCTGTATGATAACACATGCATATCGTATATCACGTGTAAATGCTTTTTACTTGTAATATTAATAATAACGTGATACAATCGGTTTATAATCGATTGCGGATGTTCAATACAATTCGAAAACTAAATTGAAAAAATCGATTTTGAAATTCTTTTGACTTTTTGATTCGTTAATGACAATCCTACGGAAATCTTCTCGATAGAATTTTTTATACAAAATCTCGCTCACTGATATTGAAAACTTTGATAAAAGGTTTTTTTTATGGGAGAAAAAAAAAGAAAGAGAGAAGAGAAAAAATAACTTCGATCAGGAACGTTAACTGTTAGGATGAAAAAGTTTTTCCAAGATAAAATTTGTTGAATAATTTCGGACAGGTAATGGTAGTAGTAGTAGTAGCAGGTCTCTTTGAAAAACAAAAAAATAAATATCAAGCGTACAACTTTTTTAAAGTAGCAATATATCTAGTGATGTAATTTTGAGATTGATTGGTAGATCAATTTTCTCTTCTTAATGTTGTTAACCCACTTCAAAGAAGATTCGATCTAACATTGTTTCTTGGTAATTAAAAATTTGAGATGAGGAAAACAAAAAAGAAGAAAAATAAAAAAAATTCTTTTAACGACTTTACTCTTACGGCTTCGATTTATTTTCTAAAGAAAAATATCTCAAAGTTTGTAATAAGAAAGCGAAGAGGCGAAAATGTAGAAAATTATATATCAGAAATAAGAGAGAAATAAGGGAAGAAGAAGGTATGAAAAAGGAAGACCATAATCAACGTTGCGTAAGAAAATAATACATCCTCAAGAGATTTCTTTTTCTACTGACGAGGCTTCGAGCTTCTTTTCTTCTTATCGTTTTCTTCAAAGGATACCGGGGATTCACTCTTGATAAAAGAGAGAAGAACATCATCTTTCGATTATATTACTTGGGATCAAAACGACAGCTTCTCTATTAATAGAAAAATGTCGAAAGAAAAGCTTTTCTTAGTTGACTAAGTCCCATCCTATTTGACATGAAATAAAGAAAAATATCAAATTCAAATTTTGCAAATATAAATTTTACAATTAAAGAAATGCTCGAGCGATAAAATTTTTACATTTTTTTGATGATGTTGTTGTTAAAAAAATTTAAATATTTTATTGAAATAAAAAATACAACATTTAACGGTCGACCTATTAAAACATTTTACGCAAAAAATTAAACGATATGCTAGTTATAAAAAAATGGGTAGCAATCTAGCTCTGAATGAAAATGAAAAATAAAGGTTTTCTCAATTGAAATAAAAATAAAAATAAAATAAAATGTTTATTTTCGATTAAAGCCTTTGAAAAAGAATTTAAAAAACAAATGAATAAAATTGAACAATGAGCTAACAAAAAGTATAAAAAAAAAAGCAAAATAATTGATAATCTAGGGCGGAATCGAACTAAAATGATTTTTCCTAAATTACCATAAAAGATAAAAGAAATAGTATATTACTCACCTAGGGAGGAAAGTATGGCATTCCGACCAGTGGAATATTGTCACCCGAGCCGAATGGGACAATAAAAAAAATAAATAAATAAATAAAAATATATATATATATATATATATATATATATTGTCATATTGTTCGCAAAAACGAACTTTCGATCCATGTGTGAGAAAAAAATTGTTATTCTCGTTCTGAAACTACTTAAAATAAATCACACATGGTACGAATGTCTGATTGTGAGTTTCATAATATACTTGTTTATAAATAATTATCATTTCGAATGTTGAAATATTAGTTTTCTCTCCATCCATTCCCCTTCTTCTCAAATTCTCGAAACTACAAACAAGAAAATAAGTACATTAGAGATGAATTTTTCCAATTGAAGTTAGAATTCTACTACTGTTGGTTGTAGTAGTGGTGGCGGTGGTGGTGGTGGTAGTGATGGTGGTTGGCTGGTGCTAGGCGTATCATGTTGCCGGCAAGTAAATACATTCATATTCATGAGAGGCTACATATTGCGATGCGACAAAAATGCTTATAACTGAGCGGATAGAAAAAAATCGACGAGGCGAGGAACGAAGCAAGCTTGGATTTTTCCTAACAAAAGGGTCCACACACGTTCAAGTTTGCTCGTTGTTTCAGTCAGAGGGTACACATCTATCATAACATAAAAAGTTGGCTCGTATGGTGAACTAGTAAAAAAAAAGAAAAAAGGAAAGGAAAGAAAAAAAAAAGAATAAGAAAGAAAACAACAAAAAATGCTTTTTCGTCCCTCCCCCCCCCCAACCTCCGCTGCTTTCTCTTCTACCTCTTTTTCCATTACATTTTTTTTTCTTTTTTTTTCAGTTTTACATTTTATTTCGTGTACCACGTACACACAAGTACCTTACAAGAGATTGTCCTTGTATTTTTCGAGTCCATTATTACTCCTACTTGACACAGTGCTGAATTTAACCAGTAAGAAAAAAAAACAAAAAAGTCATTTTTTAATATTCTTCCCATAATATACTTAACAATATTATAATATTATATCCCATAAGTGGAAGGTAAACCGATTAAAGTGAGATAAACTTAATTTGTTCGTCGTGCGCAAGATATTGCGCGCAGGCGGTAAAATATGAAATTAAGTAGTTAAGAAGTGGTTGGTGTGTTGCATTGTAAAGAAAAGGAAACGTGGTCGGGGGGTCTACTGGTGGTGTATAGGGGTAAATGTGCGGTGGTTAGTATTATGGTCGTGGAAGAAAAGGTTGGTTCTAAGGGTTAGAACAGAATAAAGGTGAATGTGTGGTACGAAGAAGGGGTTGAAATTAGCGTTCCTGGGAAGAGGAGGGTGAAGCATGGGGTCAGAGGAATCAAGGGAAGATAGGAAGGAAGGAAGGAAGGAAAGGACGAGTTGGAGTTTCCGCGAGGACGAGCGAATTAAACCGATCTATCTGTGAGAGTAGGAGTATGAGGAGAAGGAGAGGGGTAGGAGTGGAGAAACGTGCAGAGGAATATAATCGTTTCGGCCACGCTCGCTTTCGTGACGTTTCACCGTATCTCGATTCGTGGACGATTTGGTTGGCTTCCTTTGTTAGACAGAAATGCGGATTTACGCAATAGAAACAGTTTTGCACGAAACAGGAATAAACCGCACACGTAAACGAAAAATATACGTAGGTGTATAAATAATATTTGGATTTTGTACATTTAATTTAATTTTATGCCTAATGGTCGGTAAATGGAGATAATATTATAATACATTTATTCCGTGATTTTAATGGAAGTATATTTTTCAATTTGTTAGTTTTATAAATAGAAGAATTTAGAACGAGAAAATATATCTCTGTGGTAATTTTCTAGTAATTTTTATACGGAATGTTTTTCATTTTATAATTAAATTTATATTAAATAAATTAGATTTAATTATATTCGGGTAAAAAGGTTTGATATCATTTATATTTAAATTAATGAAAGTACGTAGCTTTGTTTTTTTGAA